CCCGCTGCTCCATGGCAGGACCTGAGCTGCTTTGGCCTGTCCATATGGTTAGCAAGAACCCCTCCTCTCCTGAATACTTCTTTTCATATCAGCTCATCCTCACCGACTGCAGCAAACCAAGCTTCACAACGTCAACATATCTCTGTATTCATTAATCTGTGCCAGAGACAGGTGGCATGGAAGAATAGTACAGGAGTGACAGAAGACTGTCACTTCATGACAGCAAGCTACCTGCCAGGGCCGGGCACCAAGCACAGGAATGCCACATGGAGAAAAGTGTCCTTGAACTTAAAGGACATTACTTGTTCTAATTCTGCAGCTCTTCTGATTTCTGGCACTTCACTGATGTGCTAAAGCATATGGAGCACTTCTTCATTATTTAATTTATAATTATATATCCTCTGGCTGGTAACTAAGCAGAGGTTGTCAAAGCTCCTGAGCTCTGGAGAAGTCAAAATGATTTTCTCTACCTTCTGCACCAGACTTCATCAAACATCTTGAATATAACAGCTGTCAGTAAAGAAATATCTTTTGAAACACTAACTCCATGTCTGGGAGGCATACTAAGTTTCGAAACACTACTCCTACACACTTCAGTGGTTCAACAGTAAAAATATCACACACTGCATAATCAGTCCGGTAGGAATATTTGAAAATAGTCACCTGGACAGTGCCTAACAGGAGCAAATACCACATTGGATAGCACAGCCCTGACAATTTCAGACATTTTTTTAAAAAAGCTTAATATTCATATCGATTTTAAATAGTTACAAAATATTTGTGATGGGAAAAGTGTACTTCTGGCAAAAGAAAAACTGTTTCTCAATGTAACAGAACAAAGGTGGAAAGCCGAACACAGACCCAACATTTTAAGAAATCTGCCATAGGCAATATGGATTTCATCAACAAGCACGGAGCTGTTTTGTCTCCATCAGAAAAGGGGTGGCCAGCAGGGAGGTGATTGTCCCTCTCTACTCTGCTGTTGTGAGGCCCCATCTGGAGTACTGCGTCCAGGTCTGGAGCCCCCAGTACAGAAAGACAGAGAGCTGTTGGAGAGGGTCCAGGGGAGGGCCACAAAGATGATTAGGGGACTGGAGCACTTCCTCTACAAAGACAGGCTGAGGGAGCTGGGCTTGTTCAGCCTGGAGAAAAGAAGGCTGCAGGGTGACCTGATTGCAGCCTTTCAGTACCTAAAGGGAGCCTACAAACAGGAGGGCAATCAACTCTTTGAAAGGGTTGATAACAGCAGGCCAAGGGGAAATGGTTTTAAGTTGAGGGAGGGGAGATTTAGGTTGGATGTCAGGGGGAAGTTCTTTACAGAGAGAGTGGTGAGGTGCTGGAACAGGCTGCCTAGAGAGGTTGTGGATGCCCCATCCCTGGAGGTGTTCAAGGCCAGATTGGATGGGGCCATGGGCAGCCTGGGCTAGCACTAAATGGGGAGATTGGTAATCCTGCATGTGGCAGGGGGTTGGAGATTCATGATCCTTGAGGTCCCTTTCAACCCGAGCCATTCTGAGATTCTGTTTTGGTATTTGGCATGGGGTAATATCATAGAATCCTCAGAGCTGGAAGGGACCTTTAAAGGTCATCTAATCCAGCTTCCCTGCAATGAACAGAGACATCCACATAGATCAGGTAGCCCAGGGCCTGATTCAGCCTCACCTTGAAAGTCTCCAGGCATGGGATATCAACCATTTGCAAATACACAGATGGTGAGATTGCTGCAGTGTAACAAACTGCTGTCTCCAGTCCACTACTAGACATCTCAGAGTTGCAAATTTCAATACATCTCAACAAATTTTTGAAATACTGCTTCTTTCAAAGGCTGATGTTGCCAAGCAGAGGAACTGTCAGTCTGATGCACTGCGTACTTTTAGGGTATTTAGTGACATGGGATGTGTCCTGGCTGCACAGAAACAAACAAAACCTTAGGAGAAATACAGAATAGCAATTTCATTACTGATATTTTTTTTTTTCAAAAGGGAAAACCAGTAACTCCATCCTCAAACTACACCATATTTTAGCCAAACCCAGAATAGAAAGCAATACACCACAGCAAGCAGAACGTGCCAGGTATGGCTAGCTAGGCTGCAGCCCCTTTTCAGCTGCTCTGTTTCGCATCCCAGCAGCTCTGCTGCACACAGCATTTATAATTACTCCATGTTGTTGCACGTGAGAAGAGGGACAGCTATGCCAGAACCCAGCCTCTGAGTAACATACGCCAAAGCCAGAAAAAAACCTGCAAGGAATTTATGCATTTATTGCCTCCACAATTTTAACTAGTGGTCTATTATTCATGGCCTTCACCACGGTACAACACAATATGGGTAAAAAAAAGCGAGGCACAATTTCATCACGTTTGAGAACTGTAACCCGAAATTGCATTTGTGAACTCACCCACAACAGCAGGCTGGTAAGTGAACAGGCTGGCTCATGTGGACAGCTGCTTCCTGTACCATTGGCTGTGCAAGAAGCTTCAGTTCATTCTTTCCAACCAATCCAAACGATGCCAAGTTTAGAAAGAAATGGAAAACACAAGCTCAAGCCAAAGCAGAGGGTAAATATTCTGCCCCTTCAGTGCAGAACTTCAGCTTACACGACGTGGTAAGCAGACAGGCAAAATGCACTCTGCTGCATTATAAGTAAACAACCGAGAAAGAAAACCAAGCACTACCTGTCTCCTGCAAGAACAACAGCATGAAGACAATCCCCTCAGTGATGCATTTTGACATCATTGCAAGTGATCAGACTGACTTCTTTTAAGGCTTACCAGTGAAGTCAGGGCAGCACACCACACACGCACCGTGCTTTACTCTCAGACATGAAGCACGTTGGCTTGGCTTTGAACTACTCAAAGGTGGCTTTAACAGAAGCTAGCATTCTCCCTGAACATCAGAACAAAGCAAAACAAAAAAACAGCCGTGGATGGAATCGAACATTCATTTCAGTAAACACTCCCTTCCGAGGAAAACCACTGTGAGACACTCATCTCTAGCTGACAAAACAGTACAGAATAAGAGGCAAACAGAAAGAACAGCAGGTGCTTCCTACAACAGAAGTTGCAGCACCAGGGGAATGCAGCACAGCAGAGACCAGCTACCTCCCTCAAACCACAGCCAGTGCAAGTGTTCACACCCAGCATGCACCCAGAATTAATTCTGCGCTCTCTCGTTAGCTCTGGTATGCCCTTAAGTTGAAGGTGCCTCAAGAGTTTTGTAGATTGGTTACCAAAGAATAAAATGCTCCTGTCCACAAGAGCTGAAAAGCCAGGTATTCTTTTTCAGGAGCTGCATACTCTTTTTTTAAACATTTCAACAATATCTGTGTCACTGGACTTCAGTGACCTTTCACTAAACTCGAAAACAGCATGAGTGACTCATCCTTCTGCAGCATGCTCCAGAGTTGTTATGTTAAGGATAAAGCCTTAGTTTTCAACATTGTTCAGTCCTTCACATGTTCTTTTGTAAAACACATCTTTTTAAAATAGTCTTTAACCCAAAAATATTGAGCTTAACTATTGATACTTCTATAAGATGGACTGGGCAGGATTTATAGCTCGTTGCACCTGAGAGATCTTTAAAATGATTACAAAAAATAAGTATCAGCCAATCTGAAAAGGGAAGTCCAAATGTTTAAAGATATCACCGATCTACATACTGGAAACTATACCAAACCCCACCTTGTGGTTAGGTCATCTGTCACTGACGTGTGCAAATATCTATGCACTACCATAAGCCCATTGAACAGAGACAGATTACATGATTCCAGAGCAGAGCATATTCTTCACAGAAGTTACTTTCAGTACTAGGTGGGGATCACCTGCTGACATTACTCTTACAGTCAGTGAAAAAGGGTGATCCCGCAAACAAACCTGATTCTGGCTATGTCTGGGCTGTAGGACTTTGTTGCTTCTGGAACCACGTGCAATCCTGGCAAATTCTTGACTGCATGTCAGGAGGAGATCAAAATACTGTGCCCTTCCTCAACACATATCACTTGTCACTTCATTGGCAGAGGAAAAAAATGGAGGCAAACAGAGGTAACAAGCTCTCCATGGCCTGCTTCAACGTCCTAATGACAGCCTGAGAACTGCCACTGATGACCACTCTGCAGAGAATCTGGAATATCTCCTTCCCTGAATGGCTCTTTTGAAGTTTGGCTCTTTTTTTTGACTGATTTCTTGGCTGACTCCCCTAGCTATTAGCTACTGAGGATATTCCCATCCCACCACAGGTGTCTGCTGGGACACAGTTGATAGATTTTATTCCATTTCAATAATGGCTGAACATTCTTTACAAAGCCTTTTTCTGCAAACCTGTTAAATGGGAGAGCCATTATTTTTCAGACATCAAGGCACTGCTGCAGCGTTAGTAAATTACGGTCGGTGCAGATTGAAACAAAGCAAAGTCTTCCAGAGAATCAAACTTCTCACTTCAAACACACACAGTGAGCTCCTGTCACTTTCAGGCTGAACACTACCCCAGCCAATTTAAATAAAACGGGGATTTCCATGAAAATGACTGCAGTCTAAAGAGAATATTTTAGCACTGTGCTTATTAGAAACTTTCCACAACCAAGATGTGTATTTTTTGTCCTTACCCTTTTGTAAAAATATCAACCCAAAGCAGGCTTCTTCACAACTGAATCAAAGAATGATTTGGGTTGGAAGGGACCTTTAAGATCATGTCATTCCAACCCCCTGCTATAGGCAGGGACACCTCCCTCCAGACCAGGTTGCTCACAGCCCCATCCAACCTGGCCTTCATCACAAACAATTCAGAAAGTATTTTAAAATGATATTTGGTACAATTGCCCGGCTTGGCCACACTGGAAATATTATATCAGGTATGAGAACTATGAGGTCACAAATCCTGCAAGTTACCTTGTATGTGTATGAAATGTTAAAAAGACACTTCTAAGTATGACCAATAGCAAGCTCAAAACTAGCTAGATTGCGTCACTGCTTCCTGCTGTGAAGAGCTGTTTTATAGCATAGCGAGGCTGAGCAGAAAAGAGGAAGTCTAAAGCTTCTACAGACGAGGGACTATGAAACAAACATGGCAGCAGACACTTTGTACTGCACAAAACGTAAGTTACAAACCATTACTTTGCATCAGTAATGTAACTTGGATGTATATGCATAGTGTTAAGATTTACTTCTTTCTTCAGAAGCTGAACACAGGTGTATACTCTGGGACTAATGAACTGAAATCTAATTCTTTAGAGTGCTTAATGCCTTCAAACCATAAGCAGCATTCTCTAAATAATGTTCAAAGCAAAATGAATGTTTGTATAAATAATAGTCCCCTAATCGTTGTTCAGGTTTTTTACAATGAATTTAAAAATATGTCGTAACTAAAGCAGTCAATATGTTATCACTAATTAAAAAAAAAAAAAAAAACAACCTCGTTTTCATTAAATGAAAAACACAAAACTATCTTGTTGCTTGGTCTATGACCCACTGAAAGCCCTGACCTCCTTGATGAAATGTGAGGAAATGTAAGGGATAGAAGGAGATAAAAAATGTAGGAGGAGAGTTGAGGGTTTGGGAAGAGAGATACACAGAAAATCCTTAGAATGGGATTTACTCATATTAAAATTCTAAAGGAAAATAATTAATTCTAGTTTTGCCCTGAAAGTCTCTGTTCTTGCTCATGAAATCTAGATAGACTTTACAATTCTTGTTAGTTACAAAGAACCTCAGCCATAATTAAAACATAAAACATGTTGACATAACATATGGACCGATGTCAGCTCAATAATTCAAGATTAGCACAGACAGTTGGAAACCAGTTATTCCAGGAGCTATTCAGAAAGTGTTCAGCCTAGAGAAGAGAAGGCTCCAGGGGCACCTGAGAGTGGCTGTCCAGCAAAGGAGAGTGATAAGAAAGAAAGGGACAGACTCTGCTATAATAGTAATAATATAATAATATATAATATAATATATATATAACATATACAATATATATTATAATATTATAAGTATTATAATTATAATGATATTATATATTATAATAATATATAATATATATTATATATATTATATATAATAATACAATAGTCTGCTATAATAGTACAAAGCAAAGGACTAAAGAAGGGGAGATTTAGATTGGGTATGAGGAAGAAGTTTTTTTAAATGAGGGTGGTGAGTCTGCCCAGAGAGGTGGTAGATGCCCCATCCTTGGAGACATTCAAGGATAGGGCTCTGAGCAACCTAGTCCAGCTGTGGATGCCCCTTTCATTGCAGGGGAGTTGGACTACATGACCTTTAAGGGGTCCTTTTCAACTGAAATGATTCCACAATTTTAAGTGCTTTTATAAACAGAACAAATTAAATGCTCCCATTATGAAAGATAGCAACCCAGGCCAAACTGTCCAGTCAGAGATGCATGAAGACCTACTTGGGCTGATCTCAACCTGGAATCCAGGTTGACAAGTGCACACAAGACAAGTACTGACAAGAGAAAAAAAAACAAAAATAACTGAATCATTGTACCTGTGTATAAATGCAGAGAGGCTCTTTTTTTTCCCCCAAACATAATTAATTCTTAACTGCATAAATGTCAAATTTCGGATTCCTAAAAAGTATATTTACAATAAATACAAAACATTTGGCAACACTGACTACTACAACTAAATTGAAGGAAAAAAAAACAGTTTCTGTTAGAGTATGTCCATTCTCTGAAACAACTGGCACCACTTCGAAATAATCTGCAAATAAGCCACACAGCCCCAGTTTTCCAGTTACAAGCTCAAACCAGATTCAGCTTCCTCTCTTCCCATCAACATCAACATACTAGTTATTACAGAAACAAGACTTGACTAGAAATGACTACAGTTACTGCAAGCCCAAAGGGGAGAGCAAAACCAAAACTCATGTCCCTTATTAACATTCATCTATAAAAACTGAATTCTTCTACCTGTCTTATATGTTAGTATTCAGTTTAGAGACTGGTCAGGATCTGGATATAGGTAGTAATGAACTGTGTCATAAACAACCATCAGCAACAGAAAATACAAGGGAAAAAAATTGTTTTTTTTTTTTTTTTTTTTAATTAAAGCTTATGAGGACTTTATTCCACAATTTTAAAAATATTTTTAATATTAAACATTGGCATGAGTGTACACAGCCACAAAGCTTTGCTGAAGAACTATTTTGAAATAAAGTTTCTGAATCGTTTCCAACAATGCAAAAAGAACTTATTTAAACGTGTGGGATTTTTTTCTAGCAATATGTGGACAAATTTATGTAACAGTAATAAAACCGGGACAGTACAATAAATATTACTTCAGATGTGCTACAAGCACGTGCTACAATATTTTCTGTCACACATATGCCATCTACCCAAAATAGACACTGGAGGTGTTCAAGGCCAGGTTGTATGGGTCCTAAGCAGCCTGAGCTGGTGGGGGGGCAGCCCTGCCATAACAGGGGGGTTGGGACTGGATGGGCTTTGAGGTCCCTTCCAACCCACACCATTCTGTGATTCTGTGAAATTATGCTGCTGGAGTTAGTCAGATGCTTGTCACAAATTGGAAGATCAAACAACCAACTCACTCTTTCCTCCTCCTCTTCAGAAAGTTGCCACATGGCTGGGTAAAAGGCCAAACCAGAGAAGCTCCCCCATGCGAAGTCGCAGTGCAATAAAACAGAGAGCCAGGAAAGAGGGGGAAGGGTGGGCTCACAAAAACACCCCTGCAGGTATCAGGCAACACCCGCCTTCTGCAAGGGGCTCCAGAGTAAGATGGGGGACAATCTTATCAGTTGAGTCTGCACAATGAAATTTGAGATTTCAGACTCCCAGCTGAAAGAAGGAATAGTGGATGGTTCATTCTGAAGCTCTGGGAATAAAGACTTTATTCAACCCACAGAGCTATTAAAATAGATTTTTAATGTCTTTCATGAGCAACAGCATGCACACACATATTCTTTTGAGATCTACGTAGTTTCCACACCATTAAAATGCAATGTAAATACCTCACTTAGCATATCCAAATGTTACTACATGTCATGCTCACTTCTTTCTTTTCATAACTAGCCAATTTTTTCAGCAGGAACAAGCTGAAGAAATGTTCTTTAGAAAATAGCTCTGTTACTACAATTACAGCCATTTCTATCTAATTACCGGCTATTGGAACGCATTCAAAAATAGTTGAGCAATCTTGACTTTCTCATTCCTCTTAAGTAACTGTATATTTAATTAATATAGCTTATCAAAACTATTTCTCATAAATCTGACAGCACATGTACTTTCTTCATGGCACTGTATGTATTCAGTCAGAAAAAGCAACAAAAGTAGCACACTTTTCCCCACCAGACAATACAAAACCCCATTCTACAAAAATTTGCATTTGTTTTTTTAAAGAAAGTTTTTACTTGAAGGAGAATAATCTTCCTCTGTCATCTATTTTCAGGGTTTTAATGGGCGTGCAACAACTATTCCTAAAACCAATTACGATATGATGCTTGAGAATCACTACCCTGAAGAATACAGGATTTCATCACTGGTCTTCTACAGTTTTGTATTCACAGTAGGACTGGTAGTGAATGCCACGGCACTATGGGTTTTCAGCTGCACTACCAAGAAGAGAACCACTATAACCATATACATGATGAATGTGGCATTACTTGACATAGCCTTTATACTTTCCTTGCCTTTTCGGATAATCTACCATGGGAAAAAAACATGGCCTTTTGGAGATATATTCTGTCGGATTATCAGTGCTTTCACTGTATTTTATCCAGCCATTGCTCTGTGGTTGCTTGCTTTCATAAGCGTAGACAGATTTATGGCTATTGTCCAGCCCAAACATATCAAAGAACTGAAAAATACAAAAAAAGCCCTGCTGGCTTGTACGGGGATCTGGATAATGACCCTTGCAACAACTTCCCCATTGCTCTTCCTACGTTCTGATCCAGACAAAGCCTGCAATGTCACCACCTGCAAGAAAATGCTCGATATCATCCATTTAAGGGAAGTAAATATGTTGAACTTTTCTCGCTTGATATTTTTCTTTTTGATTCCCTTGCTTATTATGATGGGGTGCTACCTAGTCATTATTTACAATTTTATCCATGGCAAGACTTCCAAGTTGAAGCCTAAGGCCAAAGAGAGATCCATAAGAATCATAGTTACTTTGATTGCTCAAGTACTTGTGTGCTTTGTACCCTTCCACATTTGCTTCGCCCTCATGATGTTAAATGAAGGTACAAGTTACAATCCGTGGGCAGCCTTTACCACCTTTCTCATGAACCTCAGCACTTGCTTGGATGTTATACTGTACTACATTGTTTCTAAACAATTTCAGGCTAGAGTCATCAGTGTCATCCTTTATCGCAATTACCTCCGAAGTGTGCGCAGGAAGAGTTTTCGAACTGCAAGTGTAAGATCACTCAATAATATCAACAGTGAAATGATATAAAAAAAAAACAAACAAAAAGTAAAAACATTAGAGGGATTCTCTAATGAAAACAAGAGATTTATTCTTCCAAATTCCAGAATTTTGGCTCCGCTGGAAAATGTTCTGTGCCCGGAAGTAACAGATGTTTGTTGCACTGTAACTATGCGAGACGTACAATGATAATGGCACTTCTGCATGTTTGCTCAACAGCCTTTGTAAATCTGAAATGAACTAAAACTTAGTATCAGTGTTAAACTGCCCACCACTTTTGTCACCTTAACAAATTGTAGCTATCACCAGACAAGAAATAACCATTAGTGTAATAAAGCACTAACACTGAAAAACTGTGATGCAAGGTATCATCTATTGTTCATAATTACACAGCCTAACAATCTTAAACTACTGTATATCCCACTCTTCTAAAATCAGCTTCATTTTCTCCTGACCAATATGTCAGTATGACTTAGAAAGTACAAATATTTCACCAAAATATTTATTTGACGCAGATTTCCTTCTAACAGCTTATGCAGACATAGATAAAAAGTCATAAAAAAATCGGTACCTGAAGTGCTCATTAGTTCACTGTGTGATATGTACACTTATTACACTCAACACTTTTTATACAGATGAAAATGCTAAATTTGCTTAGATACTCTAGCAGCTTATGCGTGCCTAGCAGCTGTGTTCCAGCACAAAAACATTGCAGTGTTATTCAAGCTTTAGACTCCTTTTGAATACTCACACATCACAAGGAATGTATACTTGTAACAACAAAAGACATGCTTTATCTTTACTATTAGATCAGCCTTTTGCTACTTTCAAAGGATACACTAAAAAAGTAAAGCTCTGTAATCTTAGCATGGTGCTCAGCATCTAAACTCTTGCCTCATGAGCTTCTATTACTACCTCAGAGCATGTGACATCTGGAAACTCAAGTCTATATGAGGCTGATGTCTCCTAACCACAAAGGCTCTGCAAGCTCTATGGTTCTACTACAACAGATACACCTCCTATTATTAATGGCAGAAATGTCAAACACAGATGACACAAAACTCAACCACTAAATATCTTAAAGCTTTAAGAACTTTAAATGCAAACAAATTAAATAATATGCTCAAGCTTTGAAACACACACGTATGAAATACCAGAATGAAATGCATATAACTGCATTTAAAAGTGAACATAAAGATACAAATTAGAGTTAAGCTATCTTTGGCATTTAAGAAAGAAATCAGTACCAACCTGATTTCATTTACAGGTTTATTGAACAAAAATAAATATGGTGCTAATTTGTGCACTGTAAGCCACTTCTCAGTCATGCTGACAATGGATCTGGCGCTAACAGAAAGGAAAATCATCGTCAGGTGGATAAATTTTAAGAACCTTAGCCTCAGATTACAATTAGAAAATGAGTGTTAGAAAATATTTCTACCACAAAACATTTACACTGGAGTTCAAAAGGATTATGCTTAATTTAAAAGGTTACATGAAGAAAGGCTTTTAAATTCAAACCTACACAAAATATTCCCTTAAAATCCTATCTAAAATAACACTAGGAGCTACTTACAACCCAGAAGGCAAGCTGTTGATGGTGATGCCAAATACATACTGAGCAGCTTCTATAAGGAGAAGATCAAACAAAGCTGACAGCGTCCAAGCACCCAGTAGGAAGGACTAGAAAGAAAAAGGTTAATTTTAATTCAATTGCTTAAGAATAAGATTTTAATATATCTCTCAAATAAGAAAATCACTACACTAGTTCAGTCAAGACAAATATAATATTTAGCACAGCATAAATTCAGATGTAAATGTTTACATGCTGAAGAATGAAAAAGAGTTTGATTCATTACCAAAAAATATATTCTGTGGATGCAGTAACTTTCAACTGATACAGATGCAAACTTAGAATAACCCACTGATAGCAAGATGAACTTAAATTCTGACTTACAGAAACCCAAATCACTTTAAAACTCTTAAATGTATATTTCTATATGGAATATTAGTAATAAAAACTACAATATTAATCTAAGAATACAAGATTCAGAACAGTGTAGAAAGTAATTTCTGATAAAAGGAGAAAAGCAACTCCAGAACTTACTGAAAATTTTCTGCTGCCGTATCTTCTTTCAAATATTCTGAAGTTGTAAATGAGCAGGCTGCTGCAGAATGTGTCTTTCAGATCAAGGCATATCACTCTCCCACATACAAGTCTCCAAATCTAGAAGGTTGAAGATTGTTACATTAAGTCTCTCTACCCTCACCGAAATTCTTCAGAGCACTTGTGCTCAGAGTGAAGGAATATAAGACTAAACTCAGACAGCAGGAAGGCAGTATGGCATTAAAAGAGGGAAATAAAGAACTAGAATTCTATAGAGATTTCAAGAAGACTGTTTAAAAATGTTTTCAAACAAGAAGTCTATCTATTAAAACAGATCTACAATTTAAATCAAGTCAACCCTGATTTTCATGATCCTAGTTTGTGTTTACAAATAAAAACAGAAACACTAACCCTAGTAAATTGTATAGATCATCAAAAAATTATTTTTAAGTGACCTCCAGCGACCATCTAAACCAGTGTACTGCACAAAGTACGTTTAATCAGTTCAGTCTGCTTGCAACCATGTCCAGTCAAGACTTGAACATCCACAAAAAATGGAAGCTCCACAACCTCCCTAGGCAACTTGTTGCAGTACTTGGCCAATCTCACAGATAAGAAAAATAAACCAAGTATTTTTATCTAGGCAGAAGTTCCTAAGTTCCAACTTTTGTTTGTTACCTCTTGTTCTAATCAAAGTGCACTTCCAAGCAGAGTCTGGCTCCAGCTCTTCTGTAATCATTTATCAGGTACTTTGCAGACAGGACTAAGGTATCTCCTCTCCGCCTTCTTTTCTCAAGGCTTTTCACCAAGTTCTCTCCTTGTATACCACATGCTCTAACCCTCTGTCATTCTAGGTGGACCCACTCCAGTGGGGTTCCTGAGTTCCTTGCACTGATGATCCCAGAACAGGGTACTTGTGAGACCACATCTGAGCACTGTGTCAGCTAGCAGGGAAGGATGGCTTGCCTGGATCTACTGCCACACTGTCACTAACACAGCCCAGGAAGTGGTTGGTGTTCTTGGATGCATGAGCACACTGCTTACTCCTGTTTAACTTGTTGTCCACCAAGATCTGTAGGTCTCCTCTACAGATCTGCTTCCTAAGCACTTGCTCTCCAGCCTGCACTCTTACTGCCTGGAGTTATTCTGTCCCAGAGAAGGACTTTCTACTTCACAAAGCTCCCATTTCTTCAGTTTTCCATGGTCTTTCTCAACAGCAGCCCTGTCTTCCGGCATACTGCCCACACCCCAAAATTGGGGTCACCCACTAATTTGCTGAGAGTTTAGTCCATGCCATCATTCAGGTGGTTAATGAAGTTACTAAACAGTACTGGTTCCAGTACTGAACCCTGAGAAGCCCTTCCCTAATTACTACCTGACAGGTTGACTTTGTACCAGTAACCACAACACCAATTTTCCATCGATCTATTAATCCATTTATTCAGTATATACCTCACCAATTTGGCACAAAATTAAGGACACTATGGGAGATGGGTTAAAAGCCTTCCTAAAGTCAAGGTATACAAAATCCACTGATTTCTCCTTATTCACAGTACCACTTGCCTCACAGAAAGTAATCATTTGGTCAGGCACTGCTCCATAGAAATAGAGAACTGTGGAGATGAGACTGTCCAGTCCAACACACTTGTTCTAAACAAAGTCAGCTAGAGGGATATGTTAATTGGCCATCTCCAGACTGGTTTTGAATACCTCCAAGGATAGAGACTATGCAACTTGTTTGGGAAACCTGTTCCTCCATTCTATCAGACTTACCTTAAAATATATTTCTCTTTAAGTGAAATTCATTGTATTTCATAGAATCATAGAATCATAGAATCACCAAGGTTGGAAAAGACCTGAAAGATCATCCAGTCCAACCGTTCACCTATTCATTTCAATGAATCATCTCTTGTTATGTAAATAAACAGCACTGAGAAGAGTCTGCCACCCTCATCATTATTACTCCTTCTCCCATTAGGTATTCACACATACTGGAAAATCCACCCTAAGCCTCTTCTTCAGGCTAAGCAATCCCAGTCTCTCCTTGTACATCAAATGATCCAGCTCCTGGCTGTACCCATGTACCCAGTTCTATCTTACAATCACAAACCTAGAACAAAGGACAGCACTCTGGATGTGGCTTCACCAGGGCTGAGTAGAAGGGAAGGAGAGTCCCACTCAAACTCCTTATGATGGATATTATACTCCATAGGTGTCTTCCAAGCTTGTTCTCCTACAACTCCCTGCAACTGGCCTTATTCCCTCCTCTCAGGACCCTGAATTCCATCAGGAAATTCATGGTCACTGCAACCAAGGCTGCACCTGTTCTTCACACATCCCCAGTCAGACCTTTCTTGGTTTTAAGTAAGAGATCCGGTCAAAACATTTTCCCTCCTCAACTCCTTGAATATCTGTGCTAGGAATTCGTCACCAAAGCACTTCAGAAACCTCCTTCAGAAACTCCGCTGTATTGGCCCCCGCAAGCACATATCAGCATAGTTAAATCCCTCCATGAGAGCCAGGGCCTGAAAACGTAAGGCTTCTTTCAATTGTCTGAAGTCCTCATCTACTTCATAGTCACAGGGTCAGTCTGTAACAAAGTTACAGACCACAAAGTTGCCTGTGCTAGTCTGCCCCCTAATCCTGACCCACAAATTTTCAACTTCCCCCATCATCCGTCAGTTCTGCACAGTCCCAGTCCTCTTTTGCACTCCTTGCCTACCTGGCCTATTCTTCCTAAAGAGCCTGGACCTGCCAGTTGCAGCACTCTCGTCACATCTCCAGGACTGCAGTGAGATTATGGCACATTAAAGGTAACACAGCTCTCGTACTTGACAAGAAAGATCACAGAGTGCAACAACATGCAGAATCACCAGCTAGGCCTAATAATTGTTAAGGCTTGTAGATGAGGAACAGCAGTTCTCTTCAACAGAAAAATTTCAGTTTCTCATAATTCACTATAGCAGAAGGTACAGTGTGACATTTATGTCCTCTGTCCTTAAAGTAAATGGTAGGTTATCAAGAGTAGCTGATCACAATAGTCTTGTCCAACCTCAAAAAAATTAAGCACAAGAGGATAACTGACATTCATATCAGAACACCTCTATTACTATTTGGGTTAAGTCACACTTCGCTCAAAGCAAGCTTCCCAACTGCAAGGAGAGATGACACAAACAATCATTTCCCAGGCAAAAGAAAGAAGTGAAAGGCTTATGTTGACAGTTTCAGATCAAGTTTTTCTCGCTTCAAACAAAAAGCAGGTAATGGCCTGCTACACTCTGCTGCAGACTACTAGGGTAACTTAAAAGCTAAGAACAAGCTGGTCTACAGCAGTAAACAAAGGTAAAGAATCAGAAGAGAAAAAGAAAGGAAAAAATGCACAGAAGAGAGTCTCTTGCAGTCTCTTTCCACAAAAAATTGACTGATCCTTACCTGAAAATCCTCTTTTATAGCTTGTAGGTTATACACAAAGAACTTCTGATAATGTTGGAAGAGCAGAGTCAACAGAATCGAGATGGCACTTGGGACTAATAACAGACTCTTTGACAAAGGTGCTTTATCTTAAAGAGAAAATAAACAGAAAAACACTTTAGAGGAAAATCTCTTCCATTTAAAAAGTGCCATATTTAGACAGGCGATCAGCAAACAATAGTGCATCATCTCAGTTTTATCTGATCAACTTCCCTTGCAAATAGATAGTAAAAACACCTCAACCCGAGGAAGTCTTCGGAGATACTAATGACAATTAAATATTCATTAGACATCTCGTCTTCAACATTCTCTCATGAAATTAATTGTTTGGTTATAATTATTCAAAGCTCTCCATACCTATGGAGATCACCTCTCCCACACAGCTCTCCTAACACTCAATGATGTTTCAGGAAACAAAACAATTACTTGTTACTAGCAAAATAGTCAGGTAAATGGACTTCAAACAAATACAATTGTTTCTTTTGTGTTTGAGATCAACCTTTATTCTCAAGGCTATGAATAAATGTTGTGAATAAATTTCCTTTCTCTTCACCATGCTTGGATCCACCATTCAAGGAGGAACATTTAAGCTAGCTTACACAACATTCATCCTCCTTCCATTCAAACACTGTAACTATTAACAAAGAAATTAATAAAACTGCACGTGTGAAATCATAACTTCTTCCCCTCTAAGAGCAGGAATTTCAAAAACAACATTCCAAAGAAAGCATGCAGACAACAGTGAACACCTTCAATGCGCATTTACTAAAATCCATCAAGTGGAACATCCAGCACAAGTATATGCAGCAATTCATCCTAAGCACTTGGTGCAGCTGCTGCAAAAAATCAGGCATTGATACAGCCATTCAAACCAGTATAAAATCTCTGAAATACCACTCTATGACTTCTCCCTTTTTCACAGCTGCAATTTTTATCATATTTACTTCTTTCCCAGCACCCCAGTTATAACACAGAATCCGCTCATCTATGCATCTGCATTTTTGCAGGGTACTATCACAAAACACGTAGCTCCGCTGTCATTATTCTTAGATAACAAAAGGAATAACATGATTAAAACTACTAAAGGGAAGTAAACACAGTGATCACTTAGCACATAACCCAGATAAACCATCATAAATGATTCAATCAACAACATCTGCCACGTACCAAAAGATTGAACTGCCAGAAAAGGAAGATGATAATAAGCACCAAAGCCAAGATTTTAATCATAGTACAATCTCACTACCATCAAAAATAGGTTATTACTGAGTAATCGAAGCAGGATCCTCACCCAAGTGCTAACTGATAGCTTCAGGAACTTTCGCTGTCAACTGTCTGCAGTTCACACCACCTTGAGATTCTCAGTCTTCCATCACTCACCAGGTGGGGGAAACATCTTCCGATGTGCATCGTATCATCTACTTGTGCTTATAATTATTATTTCAGATCCCGACTGTACTTTTGAGTTCAGCACTTACAGACTCACTTTCCTTACTCCATTTAAATAATCAATGCCTTGGAAGTACTACCCTTTTGGAGAAATTAAGCAGTGACTTGGAACAACACAGGCTCTACTCCTACAAACAGATCTTCTTCGGGAATTGGATCAGGAGAGTGGCAACATCTGGTCGTTGTTTTTCAGGTTTTTTTAGTACAGGAAAATTATCCAGCTTTCAATTTACCCATTTGTTTTTATTTCTCTAGTAACAAGGTTTTCTATAGTCTTTAGATGTCCCCTTTTCAATTATTCATTCAACTGATTCATTTTAATGCTTAAAAAAAAGAAAGAAAAAAAAAGCCAGCGTTCCATTAGTAAACTTAACTTAGATAATACTTAATATGAAAAGGTCAGTTTTATGACCGGAATACAAGAGAAAGTAGAAAGCAAAGACTAATGAGACCCATTAGAGTAGTCACAATGGTAGACCTTCCTGAGCCAAAGTTTGATAACACTTGGCATTTCACATTATTGAAGGAGTTCAAACACATTTTACAAGAACTCTCCCACGATGTACACATAACAATCCTGTTACCATAAAAAACACAGTAAGCAAATCACTAGATATCTCTCCATATCTTTATATTCCTACACAGGTTTTATACCTGTTTTCAGATTTCATTGTAATTTTCCATGCCATTAGGTCATTATTAGAATCATAGAATCCCTAAGGTGGAAGAGACCTCCAAGATCATCCATTCACGTACCACCAACGTTGCCCACTACACCACGTTCCTCAGTACAACATCTAACTGTTCCTTGAACACTTCCAGGGTCAGTGACTCCACCATCTCCCCGGGCAGCCCATTCCAGTGCCTAGCATTGCTTTACAGTTAATACACAAAGTTCATTTCTAATTTGTGCGTGTTCAAAAATCACCCACAGAACACCATCCAAAAGTACAAACATGTCATTTTACCACAGTCTCCCTTTTAGCTTTCAGATGAGACACTTTAAACCCTATTATAAAGGATAGAACTTAATTTTTAAGCCCGTCACCTAGTGAAAAACCACATAAGTAACCAAGCCATTACTGTGACAGCTCCCCACAGGGAAAGTCACATGAGTAACGGAAACTTCTACTCTCAAGTTTCTCAAAATGTCATCCTACTTGAGAAGTGTATTGCTGGCCAGTTAAATGAAGAAAGATTAACTATTTCAGATGAACAACACAACTTCCAAAACACTTTTTTTCAAGTGTTTCTGGTACACCAGTAGCCAGTAGTTTGCCTTACCATTCAGCACCATACAGATCCTTACCAAGGACTGCTGCTGTGAGGCCACCAGTGAGAGAACCCCCCTGCTGCTGCCAGTACCATCTGCACCTACCTGTAAGACCAAAAACAACTCAAGAGGCCAGATACTGCACAACTAAGCATTCTGACATCCAGATTAGTTGCCTTGATTAGAATGGAAAGGTAACACTCAGGAAGCAGAATTCTGGTCTGATAGATCTGCAACACCATGCGGGATGCAAACATGTCCTGCCAGTCCCCATGGTATTGCTGTCTACAGGCAGCACTAACATCTATGTGCACAGGGAGGAAAACACACCTCCGTTCCTCCGTGTCATGTAAAGAATGTAGAATGAAAGGATAAACTCTCACTTTGACCCTGAAAAGCTAAAACGTACCAAATATTATCTTCAAAGATCTCAGAATATATTTGCAATCCCAAAGCACTTTTTAAGTGATGATTTATCCAAGCAACAGGCAATAACAGCATCATTGCTGCAACAGACAGATAAGTGAACAGAGCAATTCTGTAACACTGGTGAAGCATGCCAAAACCACAATGAAAAACACAGAACCAGACTTCACTGCAGATCTTTGCTTCTCTCTGGTGCACTGGAGAAGATCTCACCAAAACTACCCTCATAAATTCCCAGAAGCATTGCAGCCTACAACTTTCTTGGTGATACTGCCACATTCGAAGGACAGAACTGAGGAACAAGAGGTTTCCCTGGAGACTTTCAAAGCAAGGCTGGATCAGGCCCTGGGCTACCCGATCCAGCTGTGGTGTCCCTATTCGTTGCAAGGGAGTTAAACTAGACAGCCTTCAAAGGTCTCTTCCAACTCCAAGGATTTTATGATCTCTCACAGAAGGGGAGGCTGATGGCACAAGCTGTTGCAGCTTCAGAAGCCACCACTGCATTAAGAAGAACACGAGAGCTGCAGTAGCAGGTTTTTGAAATGTTTTTCTGTTCCTTGCCTGTTCAGCACTCATCGGTGAGGAGATGCAGCAGCTGAGAATGCCAAAAGAGGCAGCAAGACTAACCTGCTGTTCAAGAATGACTTTTCAGGGAACTGCTTCACCCCTTAGACTGCTACTGTGGGCCCAAGACTCAAGTGTTGACTTGTGAGAGGATCTCACTGCAAACCCCAGCTGACAGGCCGTGGCTGCAGAAGCTCAGGTTAGCTCAGGACATTTCTCTGCAGATCCCAAGTGAACACACACCAGAGCTGCAGAAGAAACATGATCTGTAATGGCGTTTTAAACTGTTACCTGGAAACATCCCCAGATGAACTGCCTGAGGCAGCCTCATCACTTCCATACAGACAAATTAACTGTTGGGGACCACGACAACGGCATGAAGTACACATGAACTATCTGATAAGGCCTATACACATTGATACACATGAGATACATGAGTCTTTCAAACCATAACTGATGGGCATGCGAACACACAGTTTCTCCTATATCAAGTGCACTGGCAGAGTCAGTAGTCTGTGCGGCTTTTTCTGTGTCTTTTTTCATTTTTTCCTGCCTTCAGCTGTCATTCAGCTATTCATCCACTGCGTTTCATGATCTGAACAAGAACCAGCAGCACATCCACTTGCCTAAAGTGGCATTTGAAAACAGTTTTCAAGGAGTCTTACTTTACTCCCTTCAGACACAAGTCTGCTAGCACACCACACAGAAATACCATTAAGAGCATGAACAATTCATTTTGAGTACTAGGAAACCTTGCTTATCCTTTATCGTAATGGTTGTTGAAACTCACTATCTGAATTAATATCCAAATACTTTTTAAGTGTTTACCAGACACCACGTGCTTCTGGGAAACCGGAATAATTGTATCAGATCTGAGATCTAAAGCCTGTTCTTTGCTATCATGGTGCACTGGGTCCTGAACAGCAGCTGAAAGCAAATCAGAACATGCTGTGGAGGGAGGACAACACGAGATACTGACACGTGTAATGCTGCTGGAGGAAGGAGGAAGATGTCACAAGCCGGCACACCAGCTGTGAGGACTGAACTCTTCCAAGTGATCACTTTTTAGGTCAGTTGATCCAGTAATTACTTTTCCAGTGCCTCATCCTTTGGAATAGAACATGCAACACGAGAGGACCCTGCAAAAATACTGGAGTTATTGCTGCAAGGATGATATGACTGAATGACATATCCTTGCTCACAAAAGCAACTCCTGCTCCTAGGCACGCAGCACAGGCACAGGAAGGGGATGTTCTGCTCAGCCTGCCTCATCACAGCGTACTCTGGTGGTTAATCAGCATGATGCCTGCAAGTGAATGCAGTCATAAGAGTGTCACAACAGGAAGGGATTTTCACCAGAAGCTTATGAACTTAGCGCAGAACCTTAGCATACATCCTCTTAACATGGCAAGAAAAATCTAGTCTGTGCTCCTTTTACGCTACAAAATACCAAAGGATTTCAGTCCTGCAGCAGAAACACATTTGGCAGGAAGAAAGTCAGAAAAGAAACCAACGGTGATCACATTTTACATCTGTTTTCACAAGACATTGGTAGGACTGTAATCAAACCTATAACCTATACACTTGCTGTCTAAGGAGGAGTTGGTGTCAGCCTAGGTTACAAACTGCAACAGATACCAAAAAATAAAAAAAAATAAAAAAAAATAAAAAAATAAAAAAGAAGAAGAAGAAGAAGAAGGAAAGAAAATCTTTGTTTTAAATGGAACATTTGAAAAAAGAAAAAAAAAAAAAAAATAGAAAGTGAAACAGTGCTTATCTAGTTGAGCAGTCTCTTCTTCCTCCCTTCCTCCCAGCCACAGAGCATATTACCCTACTACTATTAATATACAATGCCGGAGACATCAGGTACAGCTACAGCACTGTGCTGCACAGATCCCCAAGGTGGTCTGAAATTAGCTAGCTCTGTGGCAGAAGTGCAACAGCCACATTTTTGCAGCACGCAATGACTGGCTAATTGAGCTCCTGTGGCCGCACCGTTCCCAGGACTCAAGCTCATGTTTTGAACCACACTGCTCTCTAGCATGCTGTTGTACAAGCTGAACTGTTTTTCCAGATACCACTAGACTGCTTAAAACTTATGCACACAAGCCAGATATAGTCAATACATACTCCATTTTTCCTTTAGTCACATCACAGAGCATCAGCTTATGTAGTTTAATTATTTTCCTAATGCCTGCACACAGCACACTTCAGGTTACACAAGCTGAAGAGCACATTACGGCACTTCTGTCTTGGGGATATTCAACCAACCTTGAGCATTCCACCACAAGGTTCACAGAGAGGTTAATGCCTACGTAGCGTTAGAGGAAACCCTTACATTAACGTTCAAAGAGCTCGCCTCCCTACTGCTGCACAAAGTACTTTGTGCACAGTGGGCAAAGTAGTCAAACAATTTTCAGGTGTAGCAAGTGGATATGCTTTAAACTTAGACTTCGGTTTTACCTTAAAACCAAAGATTAGCTCCAGCTGACTCTCCTACTATCCATACCCATGGACAGCAGTGAACATAGCAGCACTACAGCTCTGAGCAGCTAGCCCCACACCAGCCCTGATACACTCATGCTGGCCTCTGCTGAGCCGCTGAAGGATTTCAGTAGCATTATTCATGGGATGTGAGCATCTGGCAAAATGTGACAGATAGAATCATAAGACAGTTCGGGTAGGAAGCTGATCCTGAATTTGTTCTAGACACTGCACTGAATACAATGTAACAATACTCAAATTGCTTCTCCCTTGGCAACACAAACTATCAAACTCATCTTTGCATCTTTGTAACGTTTCCAGAGTCTGCAGTAGTCCACAGTCACTTACTTTGCTTTATTCCAAAATTAGCAAAGTGAATAATAAACTAAGAATTCAAAGAATGACTATAACATCTTAGTCCAAGGTGCTACCAATCTTCCTTGGATCATTATTACCAGATGGAGTAAAAAGTTTAAAGCCAGCTGCAATTGCAGCCACTAGGAGTCAAGTTATATTCTCCTGTCTGTTTCAGACGAGGATTAAACATGACGTACAAGAACCAAAGAACTTCAGATGAGTTAAAGAACTATTTAAGTTCTGATTAAAAGTTTCAGAATAAAAAATAAGTTTTTTAAAAAAGGTGACCGAGCCAAACCACTACACACCTGCTCCTGAAAAGCTGACTGGTGAAACTGGTGGAACACTTTGCCTAAGGAGCCCATTCAGACGCACATTACCAACATCCGGTGGAGCTCTGGGGTCACTGGTTGCCCATTTTGGTATAGCTAATGATGAGAACCTCGCTGGAAGGTGTGACAACAAGGTGATGGGACAGAATGCAACAGAATGCAGAAGCCACTGGCATTTCTGACATGTCAGAAGACACTAAAATCCTTACTCTGTGATAGATAAAACCAACAAGTAGGTCAATTTCTAAATGACCTAAGACAGGAATTCAAGGCCAGGCTGGATGCGGCTCTGGGCAGCCTGGTCTGGTGGCTGGCGACCCTGCACATAGCAGGGGGTTGAAACTAGATGGTCATTGTAGTCCTTTTCAACCCAGGCCATTCTGTGATTCTATGACAAGTGACTGAAAAAACAACAACAACAACAACAAAAGATTTACCAAACTGTATCACTACGTGGCTTGTACCAAACACTACAGGTGTTATAAAGGCACTCAGAGGTGGCACACTGGGCTATGAGAGCCTTCAGCCTGACCCGCCGCATCAATTGTGCTGCAGTCTAACTGGCATCTGGTTGTCCTACCTGGGGTGAGTTGGTGAGGAGCGCACTTCGTACCAGTTTATCAGAGAAAACAAGGAGGTTGAACTGCGCACACTGTGCCATAAGAACGGCATCTCCGCGGGGCCAGCAACGGATCATTCTGCTGACCACAGTTCACCCACTCAGCCAAACCAGGCACCTTCCCACGCCACGTACTTTCTCGCAGCTTTACACATCGTCTCGCACCTCCGAAGAGATGTTCTACGGCGCGGAAACAATCGCCCACCGGGAGCCGTCATTGCAGCACGACGTTACCAGACCCCCCCCCCCCCCGTCGGTGTTCCCCGTGACACAGTCAGGACCCATAGCAACAGTCGGCTCTCGGCCCGCGCCTCGCACCGGCCCGGTCGGAGCGCCCCCCGCTGCGGAGCTCCCGCCGGCAGCGCGGCCCCGTCCCGCCCCGTCCCCCGGCGGAGGGGCCGGCCGTCCGCCACGCTGAGACGCCGACACACCCCTCGCCGCCGCCAGGGCCGGTACTCACAGAGCCCGTTGGAGCCGGTGCTGGTGAACATGGTGGCGGCCCGGCGGCGGCCCAGCCGCGGCGGGCGCCGGTAGCGGAACCCCCAGAGGCCGGGCAAACCCCGCGGAACCGCGGCGGGCCCAGAGACGCGCGAGTAAGGTGGCCGCGACGGGCCAAACGCCGCCGCCAGCGAGCGGGCAGCGCCCCCTACCGGGACCGCCGGGAGGGGAAGGCGGCGGCGGGTGCGGGGAGCCGGGCGGGGGCGCGCTGGAGCGGGCCCCGTGGTCGGGAGCGGGGAGAAGGGAGGTCCGTGAGAGGCGGGGGAAGCCGAGACCGTGGAGGTGGTGGTGTTCGAGCGACTGGGTCGTTTGCACGGTCGGGAGGGGTGTTGTCTTTGCTGTGAACCTCATGGCTACAGGGAATCTTGGGTCACGGTAGATGAGCTGTTTGCTGTACAGCCGTCACACAGCGCCAAGTGGTTTAGGCTGGAACCGACCTCAAAGCCCGCCCAGCCCAACCCGTGCCACAGGCAGGGCTGCCGTCCACCAGCTCAGGCTGCACAGCGCCCATCCAGCTGCCTTGAGTGCCTCCAGGGATGTGGCACCACAGCCTCCCCGGGCAGCTGTGCCAGCGCCTCACCGCCCTCTGAGCAAAGAATTACTTCATCCTAACATTCAACCTAAGTCTCCTCTCTTGTAGTTTGACAGCTCCACTGTCTTATCACTACACTGCCTGACAAAGAGTCCCTCTCCAGCTTTCTTGTAGGCACCGTCAAATACTGGAAGGCCTCAGTGAGGTCTCCCCAGAGCCTTTCTTCTCCAGCCTGAACTAGCTCAGCCCTCAGCCTGTGTCCACAGAAGAGGTTCTCCAGTCTTCTAATCATCCTCGTGGCCCTCCTGTGGACTCACTCCAATAGCTCCATGTCCTTTTGGTGCTGGAAGCCCCTTCTATCTCAGTGCATCTTCCATTTAGTGATATTTAGGGATATACAATAACCAAAACAGGCAAAGTACACTGTTAATTAACCTGCAGCCCAGACAGGGGGCAGATTCAAAAGGCAGATGTAGGCCAAATGCAGCAGCAGGGGACATCTTGAGGCCACAGTAGAAGACCACCTTGTTTGCACAGGGTTTGAGAGGTACACAGTCAGCACTCAGACATTCCAGGCATGGGGGAGGCCAAGCACTGCTAGACTGATATAACGTATGTGAGTCCAGGTATTTCTATCTAATTACTTGCCCCTTTCTAAAGATGAGTTAAATTTGAAAACTGAGGACCCTTCAATCCCTAAGTTTTGGAAAAGTACGACACCTGGCTCGTCCCAGGAGCCCACAGTGTGTCTGCACAACAGCCAAATATATGTGCTTATTACAGCTAATGGAGGCACAGTCCATAGGTTCAGTGGAGACTGGAGAGACTTTCGGATGATCAGAGGAATGTGTCTATTTTGGGATGAAATGAACTACCCCCTAAAGGCCAGCAACTATTGGTCAGAGAGCCTCTAGCTGTAACAGTATAGATATCAACATTTAAGGTGGGATGAGGCAAAATCCACCCTCAATTTCATTCAAAGCCTGAATCCACCCTCAGTTTCATTCAAATATGGTATAATAAGACAGAAAATTGGGGCACCCAATTTCAGTGAAATGGTCAAGTCTGCACAGAAACCTGAGCTTACTGAAATAAGTTATACAAGGCACTTGGAGAGATACAGTGCTCTGCTCTGTGTCACAGATGTGAGTGTCAGGAAGAAAGAGGATGATGTCTGTGAATTTAGAACCGAGAGCCCCAAAGTCCTATTTTGTAGCACACTGAACTGTAAGCCTTAGCTTTGATTATTTCCCTTGATTTATGTTCCCATATCGTGTCATATTAGAGAGATTCTTTTCTGTTCAGAACTGGTATTGGATGGAAATCAGAATCATTAAACATCCAAGAGTCTTAAATGCATTCTGCTGAATAAGGCTGAATTTGGGCAAACACTTAAACTCTCTTTTGAAAGCAGCTCTGCGGATTTGCTATCAGAGATACTGAATGAGTAGCAAGCAGTAGTGCAGCATCATACCATAATACGTACTTGCAGATTTATCAATACTGCTGAGATACTGGGAGCTGGCTCTGGATTTCTGTGCTATTTTATGTAAGTCTACAAATACACTACTGAGTCTATAAAGCATCTAAAGATCTAGCATCTAATGTCTCTGTTTCAAAAAATAAAAAAGATTGAGTTATTTTTTCTGAGATTAGATCGGATGAGATGCATAATGTGTTTTTGAGAAAACTGTGTACCCAGTGCTAATAATTACTCCTTTATGTACCAATTGAATGGTACAGGAAATGTAGCTTTTGCCTTCAGACACAGTGGCAACCAGAGACTTCATTAAAGAAGAGAGCTTTCCTGCTGACATTGGCAGCTCCAGCTGATAGCTTGTCATAAGAATTATGTGAATGATTTGCATTATTTAAATATGAAGTGTTGTCCTCTTTGGAGTTAAATGAAATCGTCAGTCCTTGTGCTTGCCTTGGAACATATCCCAGAATAGGAAAGCTAGCACTTATCTGCTAATCTACTCAGAACAAGCTTAGAAGGCTTTGACACTGCTCAAATGTCAGCTTAAATATCTGCATTTGTTTTTTACATCTAGTTAGCGAGGTCAGTTTGCTATGTTCAAAATAAACTTATTTAGATGTTCTGCTAAAAAAAAAAAATAAAAATCCCAGGAGACTGAAAATCTGAAAATTATATTTCTCTTATCTAATACGATTAGATTTCTTTCTTCTTCGAACTTGCAGTGTTTTTAAACCAACTCTTAATTACTAATTAATCTCCAAGAGTCAGGTGCTCCCCTGCCACAAAGAATGAAGGATAGCAGCAGAGTAGAACAGGATGGAAATGCAACACCTCACACAGGAATCTGCTGTCTTAACTCAGTGCTATCAGAATTCTGCAGGTTCATGGGTGATGGTCCCTCATGTCTGAGGTTTCTGTGGCTTTCATAGTATGGTGCATGCAGCTATTACAGCTACATGAAATATTAGCAGATGCCTGGAAATAGGTTAATGTTAAACTTAATAATTTCAGTAACTTCTTCAATAACTGACAGTTCCCAACCCTTGTTTTCAGCTGCAGAAGAATGTAGAGAAAGCAGTTTACAATACATACTCTGCAGAGGAGATGTGAGAGGAGGATGGGAAGAAAGTAGAGAGATACAGTGGGATGAAATCAGCCTAATTGATCCTGTGCCTTTCCGAGAGTGAAGAATTTCTCTCACTCCTTTGGGAGTGAATAATGTTTTGTAACACAGCAGACCTGCCTATCCTCTTGAACTATAGTGGGTTCATTCTATTACACTGACTTTATTTTTACTATAAATTGAAGAAATTGAACATTTTCTAGATGAGTTCTTTCCATGTAGAGCTTAGAATTAGTGTGAGGAAAAACAGAGTGGCTAAAGGAGAAACTTTTAGGTAGTTCTTGAGGAGCATTGCGAAGTAAAGGAAAGTAGGAAAAAAAAGGCAAGAATATTGTGCGTTTTTTTCCTCTGATATTGGTAGGTGACCATGCATCACACTATTATGAAAAATTTAAAGGCTGCTCAAATGTTTTCTGTCTGTTAAGGATTTAGCCACTTGAATGAGATGTTCTGCAAAATTTCAAATACAGGGATGAACTTGAGCTCCATATCGATGTATAATAATAGTAATGTGTGGATAACTATTCTTTCAATAACTCAAACATAATTCAAACATCACCTTCCTGTTTTCCAGCTACAACCCCAGAAAGGGATGCAGTCGTAGTACAGTGTTTAAGGGACTGGCTTACTTGGAGCAGAGCCAAATCACCAGCTGGTGGTCACCGGCAGCCACAACCTCCCACTTCTTGCATTGCTCACTTCCATCCCCAGCCACTTTCCAACAATTATCCCTATTTTGTCCCAGCAAATCACCAGAAATGTGTTGCATCCGCTTCCTCTTAGGTTTATGTTGTGCCCTCCAAATGTGGACGAGAGAAGAACAGCGAGGCACAAAATAAGTAAATAAACGAAAGTTGAGAACAAGTGCCTACCTGGACTCATGGAGGCTACCTTGATTTCTTCCTCACATTTTATCTTTGTGTGTTGAATGTACCCACCAACCGTTTTACACTGACTCATAATCATCACTTCTGTTTTAACAGTTGACCATCAACTCCTAAGCACCACGTGCAGGCAGGTATTGGCATCTCTGTATTCAGGGGCAGCATCAAGCATTTGATCAGCAGCTCTGTGTTTGAATGCCAGTAAAACACTCCCTTGGGTTTGCCATCCTTACATTCTCTGTCACAGGAGCCAGGTTATTTATTTCAAAGAAGGCCAGGATCCTGTGAAAAACAAGAGCATATGGTAGGTAGCATAACCCGGAACTAGATTCTAATGCAAACACATTAAAAGAGAATTAGGCAAATTGATTCTGGTATTTCTTAATTGATGACATTGATCTCAGCTTTTACATTCAATGTTCTATATTAGTGTTTTATCTGACTTAGGCAAGACTTCATTCTTGTATTACAAATACACACTTCCAACTGTCTTTGGCTGAGCAGCTCACTGGATTTTAGCTCACTCAACCGAAGGACATTAATTTGCTGCAAGGAAAATTGGGAAAGATCAGTAAGCATCAGTGAAATGATCAAATTTAAGCATAGTGCATAGGAGACTCAATTAAGGAATCCTTTAGAAGGGCAAAATATTATGTGTAGCACTGTATAGCATACATAATATGAAGTTCAGCAACATACTTTGCATATCTGTACCCAATAACACACACTAGAGTTCATGCACAAGTCATCTTTTTCAGATTGAATTTATGCAAATAGTACCTTTGTGATCTGGCATACGATGCTTAATTACGCAAAACTACTAACGAGGATTGCAAAACATTTAAGCTTTTAAAATGCAGAAGGCAACTTACATTCCTGCATGCCGGTGTAGCTGTGTTGAAATTGACTGTTAATTAAAATTGGATTTAAAAAAAAACAAGCGCACTTAGAGGAGTATTTTTTAAGGATTTTTTCCCTCCCTGATACTTAATTCATATTTCCCAGGCATCCTCCTCCTCTTGCTCCACATCATAGTGCTATCTGT